GAAAACCATTAGAAGAGGCGCCTAAAACTAAAACAAAATTTAATATAATTTCTTAAACCTCTTGAAAATTATGAAGTTATGTTTGAAATAAACATATTACTCATTATTAACAGCTGTCTTGTTATATTTTACGTGATGCCTCCTCACGCGCGGCCGCTACTCAAGGTACTCTTTTTTCGTCTAATTGTAGCATATAAAAGGCTCCTCTACTACTATCTGTGATCTTGACGGCCTCTTAGTAAATTCAGAAAACTTTAGTCAGGTTTGCTAAATCTTTTTTATGTACATAGATATTTGTTCAAAGGACCGATCCTAAATGGATACACTCAACTATTGAAAAGATAGCTAAAAGCCCTTTACACCTTAAAAACTTGATTCGAATATTATCAAATTTTGTCTTGTCCGAACGCCACCCTGTTTGGACCCGCCATGCCCTGTTTTGGCTCACTAATGTCAGAAAACTTAAGCCTGAACTACTTAGGGCTCCGGAACTTGATTATGCGCTCAGGAAGATCTCCCATTATGCCACTGAGGTTACGGGTCTTCATTCAGCCTTCATTACTTCGGCCGCTCGGGGTCAAGCAATACTATCTTGGGCTCAATCAGTCGCTTTGATAAACTCCGATAATGGTAATCGCCAGTTTGGTGCACTTCACAAATCTGGCTATATTTACACAGATGGTAATTCTCGCAATTATTTTCTTATGTTTATCGAAATATAAATTAGATTGTTCCTTTTTGTCATTCCTCTGGTAGATTCGGACCAAGAATTTGGCGATGTGGAGCTGAAGTGGCGTACTCGTCATCTGAACTATCTCCGAAGGCTCCAACGCCAATCAATCATCTTTGGCGAAAAAGTACTTAGTACTAAATCGATAAAAGCTCAGAAGGCTGAAAACACTCCGAAGGTACCTGGACTATCAGAAGAGAATATTGATGCTGAATGCAATAGCTCTTCACTCGAGGATACCAGTGCTATTGAATCCACTCCTGAATACTTGGGGGATGACCAAGAAGAGGAAGAGTGCATTTCAGATTATGGTGGAGATTTTAGTGAAGTGGCTAGTTTAGATATTCCCGAGGACACGGATGGCAGCATCGATGACGGTTTTGTCGACGTCAATGGTAGTGATTCGCTTGATGCGAACGTAACCGATGCCAGATTAGCATTAGGGTCACAAGAACGAAATGGAGAGGATTGCAACCAAGGTTCTTGGAATGATCAAAGCTATCTTAGTGAAAGTGATGAATCCAGTTCTAGCACAATTAATCGAATGAAACCTTTGAAGAAACGCCCACGACAAGAGGTACATCCTGTTCTTTTTTGCTTTTTTATATTTTACTGTAATTTATTTTTACGTATCATTGTCGTTTTCAAAGCTATTTAAAAATTTTCGTCTTTGTTTTTACATCCAAGCTATTCAATGCATGTTTGCCTTATGATTTGGACAATCAATCATTTTTGGATTAAAATTACCACTTTTTATTTTATTTTATTATGCTTCTTCTTTCCTAGAACTTAGAAGATAATCTGATTTTTTATAACTAACCTTATATTTTATTGCTAGCTTCTTTCTTAGTAGTTGTTTGTCGTTATCTCCGCACCTTAATCATATTGACAAGGGGACGAATGGGAGCGCACTTTGTCTAGAGTGTGCATGATAATTTCCAGTCGGACAGTGTACCAGAAATTCCGGAGGGATCGTCAGTAAGCCTTGTCATTTTTAACACCACACTACAGCTCGTCAGAGACTAGATGAATATCCCAGGACAAAAGGAGAGATTACAACTATTTGGCAGGCTTCACTTGTATCTTTGACGAGTTGTAGTGTAGTGCTAACAGTGGCAAGGGTCACTGACGATGCCGACTGAACGCCTAGGAATATACTTAGTCCATTGTCCAACGCTGGAAATTAGCATACATACTATGCAATCCGGACAAGATGTGTTCAATTAGGTCTTCCTGTCCACTTTTACAGAAAAAGTTGACCCATTATCCAGATCGGGTTGCTACAAAATAATGTGTTCATGTGGTCGTTTTTATGTTGGAG